AGCAAGTGCTTTACACTTGTTTGAAACCAAGAAAGGTGCAAATGAAAGGAAGCCAAAATTATGAGAGGAAGTTAAAACTATGAATGAACACTCTTCACCTGCTATTTTTTTAAGCATTCTGGCTTTTTGAGGATATGCCAAGCCCCTATTATCACTTACCAAGCTGAAGTTCAGTCCATGGAGTTGGAGATCTGCGTGGGGGCAATGGTTTTGCACTTTACTACTTCTACTGGGGATGAAGGGGGGAAAAAAAATTAAAACAAAAAACCAAACCAAACCAAAACTAAGAAAGCCGAGGGTGGCATCGCTCTGCCCTCAGCCGTGCGGCAGGCAGACTGATTGAGGTACAGCCAAGGTGGCGGAGAGCGCCCCCCTCAGCGGCCCCTCAGGAGCTGCGCGGGAAACGCGGCCGCCCTCAGCCGCGCGGGAGGGGTCCGTCCCTTCGCTCCCCACAGAAATCCAGCCCTTCCCGAGCCGCCCCGTACCCGTGTGTTTCACACAAGGGAGTCTCCAGTTTCCCGCCTACAGTTAGTGAGGTGACTGCGGGAGCGGTCACACTGCAGGGCAGGGAGAGCTTCCCAAGGGTGAAACACGCTCCCACCTGGACAAGGATTGCAGCAGCACTTTGCTGAACTAAATACCTTTGAGAAATGCTCCTGACTTGTACGGATGAGGTACTGAAAGGCGTGTGTGGCTTTGAAGAACAGTTTGTAAAGACCAAAGGTGATTGATTACCTGTTAATATCTGCTCACATTCATGGGAGATGGGACTGGACAACTGCACTGCTGAAGCTTTTGAGGACGCAAGCCGCAGATAACTTCTCAGACAACCAGACATTAATTAATTAGGAGATTAATTAGAACTATCTTCTACTTTAAGCATTTCACTGTCTTCTGACAAAAGAACATGTTAATTCACCCAAACAGCAAATAATCCCCTTCAAAATCTACAGATGGCAGTGGAGAAGTGCACACAGGCCCTGTGTGCAAGCAGACATCTTTGCACTCCCAAACCCCACACAGGCTCCTCTAACCTTCCAGAATGTCATAGATCCTGGATTTAAACACCTCAACTCTGCCAAATCATGTGGTCCTCGGGCTATGTCTCCTTTACTGGTTTTAGTTGGATCAAGGTGGTTTTTGACATGAAGTTTCTGACCACCTGCCCCCGCTCTGCAGAGCCATCAGCAGGCACATGGGCTGGGTTCCGGCTGCTGAAGCTCAGAGATTTAACACTGTGTACCAGGTTTCAATCTACACTGCCAGCCAGCCAGAATATCTTTCAAACTTAGTGAAAACACTCACTTCAGAGGATCTTTTTCAATATTCTTACCGACAGTCATCTGCCAATCCCACCACATCACAGAGGCTGCGTTTCATCTCCTGCTACTGCTGAAATGGTTTTGATTTTTCTAGATACGATTCGATCGCACTATATCACGGCGTATCCTGATGTTGGTGTTGCTGAAGAATGTAAGGCATAGCAACGTAAGGAGGGTTGTCCCAGAAAGAAAAATGATCAGGCAGTTTATGGAAAGAAGTAAACTACTATAAAACACTGCAACAGATTATTGTGAATTACTCACATCTTTAAGACAAGCTGGCTGGATGTGATCTTTTACTAAAAAAAAAAATAAATTGCAATTTGAAAAGATTATCACATAACAAGTAGTATCAATAGGTGCAGTACACTGATTTCATAAATGTAAGATCTACTACAAAATAATTATTCCTTTCATTACATTTAGGAGTATTCAAGTTTTGACATGGTAAATTTAATTTTAAATGCAAGTTGTTGTTTTTTTTATATTGAAGAGGATATATCTGTCTTTTTTTTTTTTTTTAAATACAAGTCTCACACCTTCCTCTAATTGAAAAATGCTTCTGAAGAAAAACATGTGATAATGTAAAATGCTTCTAAAGTAAAACATGTGATGCTGAAGACAATGCATGACTGGAGTTTAAAATATTGACAATTTTGTATTAACAAAAATAAGCACAGGATATATTTTGAAAAGTTTTTTTAGATGCTATCAAACTGAAACAATTCTTTCACCAGACTTCCATTTGCCTGTTTTAAGGAGGCAAACAGAGGGACAAAACTTACAGTTACCAAGAGATTTACCAGACATCCACTCGCCCCTTCCACACAGATGAGCAGAGGCACCCCAGACTTACAGAGTTACCAAGAGATTTACCAGCCATCTGCTCACCCCTTCCAGGCAGATGGGCAGAGGCACCCCATTCTTACAGTGACCAGATGTATGCCTTATAAGACGCGAGCAGTCCCGCATACGGCTCACCCTGCGTTAAAACAGTAACAACTAATGGGTAGCACCAGATGAACCGGTTCCCAAAACCAAATACCAAACCAAAATTAAATTCCAAAATAATACCTTCTGATTGCTGGTCCTTGTCTGCTCCTGCAGTGAGCCCATTGAGGTGAGGAGTCCCTCCGGAGAGATATCCGGGCGTACCCAAGGGAGTCCTGTTCTCAACGGATCCTGCAGCTGGGCAGAGAGGGTCCCACCAGAGTCACCAAATCTGATACTGAGAAAGCCGGTCAGAGGAACTCTCTAAGACTCGTTTTGGAGTTGTAGAAAGCAGGAATTCTTTATTGCAGCGCTGGACACACATGGAGATTGCTCCCCCAAGGTGTGTGTGTTCGTCTTTGTTCCAGCACATGTTATACTGACCTAATACATGTATATTCATTGAAACTCTGAGAAATTATCCACATATTCAAAACACTTCCCATAACCATCTACAATCCAATTTCCCTAAGCCTTTTGGTGGTGAGCATCTTTGCACACAAGTACAATAAGTTGGGGTATTTTCAGAGATATCACTATTCAAATCTAGAGGCTTATCTTCCATTGCATCGTCAAAGGTCATGTCTGCCCACAACTTGGTCCATGATATTAGTTGGGATTGGTGTCCCTATTAAAGATGTTACCATGAGAGATGAAGTTTAAAAAGCATATACACAGTTCCTCCATGAACTTCTTGAAGTGTTCATGCATATTCTGGGGTGCGGGGGCAAGGGGGGGAAAGAAGAAGCAAATTGAACATTTTCTTTTCTTCATCAACATTCATATTTTTATTCCTTGCTTCACTGATGGCCTGAAACCACTTCCAGTAATAGTTAAAGAGCTCTGCGACAGGCTTCAGTATTGAAACAATGCAACTTCAGTCACCAGAACACTGTACAAAACTACAACCTTTACTCAGAAAGATTTCGCATACTTTGCAAGTCACTGGCGTATTACAGAAAAGGGCTAAAGAAATATGTAAATATATCTGTTTATTGTACCAATTAAAAAAGGCAAGAGTGTGCTGTTGTAATACTTTCCCAGTCAAGAAACAGGAAATACACTGTTCAGAGCAGTGTCCTTAAACTGGATCCAGCAAGATGTGTTGAAAGCTACTTAGGAAACATGTTGAGTGAATGAATCAATCAATAATCCTGATAGTAGAGAGCGGGATTACAGAGGTTTGCAAAGGGAGAAAACACAACCAAAAAAAATCTGACCTCATAGCAGCAATGTTCTCTTCATGATGTGAGTTTTCAGATTTTGATTTCAGGATAATAAGCAGTGAAGAGGTTGGTCAGGAAATCATTTCACTTTATGCCACTATCTGTAAATCAACACTTTTAAGCTAGCATTCTGCTAGTTTTGTAAGAACTTGGGAAAACTGAGGTTTTTATTTTGTACAATTTGTGATTTGAAAAAAACCAACAACAACAACAAAAAAACCAAACCCTAAAAACCCGATTAGCACCCAAGGTGATGTTAACTGATATTTCTGTGTAAGTTGACTTTGTTTTTAAACACACTTCATTGGCTTGTGTTTTTGAATCTTATGTCATAAATACACCATATACTGTGTTATAACAAATTAACACAAAAATATTTTCAAAGACACCTTTTGGATGAAAACATTGAAAAGTATTTTAAAAAAATAACATAAAATAAATTACTTTTTTTTTTTTTTTAAATCAATAGCTATAAAATCCATGAACCAAACAACATCCAACATTGACAAAAAATGAAATATATATTACACTAAAAGGCTGGTTAATTACCACAGTGGTATGAAGCTTCAAGTAAATTACTAGGCACTTTTTACCCAAACAGTAGACACTCATTCAGTGGAACAGTCCAACTGACAGAAATATAATTGATAAAGCTTTCTAAGATTCTAAATTCTTCAAAAAAGTGCAGATAAAAAGGCAAAGACAAAAAGGCCAGGTATTACGGCACACAGGACACCCACTGTCAGCTGCTTTCCTTACGTGACTCTTGTTCAGCTGCACTGGAGTTCCAAAAACGGTGCTACCAAGTCAGCCTCCTCCATCTCAGATGGGCATTTCTGTGAAGGCTTTACCCGTCCAGAGCAGAGCGAAGCAATGCAGCTCCAGACACACGGAAAATGGATCTAGAGAGGCTGCAGGGCTACACGAGCAAGTACAAAGCGGCAGAACAGACCCAAACTTGGCTCTGATCTGAAAGGGCGCTCGTTACTGGCACAATCCAAGCACTAAGACATGTTGTGCTCTGTACCAGCCCATTTGTAATTGTGTGAATGACCCCAGCACCCCCATCCGATATCCTCGAGATCCCCAATGCCTAGAAGTTAAATCTTCCAGCAAAGAAAAGGACGTACTGTCGTGTGGGAATTTAAGTACCAGCAACATGCATAAGCTATTATGAAAAATCACAATTAAAATACCTAACATAACGAACTGAAGTTCAATGAAGGGCAACTAAAGCAAGAAATAACATATTTTGGAATACTTTAAAAAGTATTATTGATACTTAATATACTTATATTAAGTATATGAATATACCTGAGTATATTATTAATTAGTATACTTAATATAAGATTGCACTATTTACACTTTAGAAAGCAGCAGTTTGTGGCACGATTTTAAAGCACAATTTGTTTTTTGGGAAGAAAAGCATAGCACTGAGTATTCCTTAAGAAATCACGTCACCTCAATTAGGTGCAAAGTTCTCTAGCTGGAAGACCAGGTCTACGGCAGCATCAACATCTGGTACAATATGATCTGGTTCTACTAAACCAGGATCAAATCTAAAATCTCTGTGGCCATGGAACACGGTTTCAGTTACACTCTCCCTGGTATCCAAAGGTACCTCCGTGTGAGGGTTGTAAACCCCAGTACAAACAAGAACAGACCTACAGTGGGCAGCAGCTGCAGATGCCAATTCATTCTCCCAGCTGTTGCCTATTTCATCATCGTGAGAGAGAGCAGCAGATCCTCTGCCACCAGCAACTTTGGCCTGAATCCGTGATTTTGAACCTTTTCTGGAGTTCTCTTCAAGATAGCGATTGTAAAGGTTAGCACCATAGATATCAGTCATGAGGTTATCTCTGGAAAGAAAAGAAGAAAGTTTAGTCAGCAGTTCAATTTTAGCTGTCAAATTTCAGTTGTATGAAAGACATTTTTATGGTTCTGATTTAACAGTTTAGTTTGGACTTGACATAACTTTATGTGGAAGTACGCAGATAGGAGGAAACCAAATCCTATAGCTACTTGATTACTCCATTTGAATTAAACATGACATGATAAAAGTGAATAACTCCCCACACTGAAACTGCAGACCAGGGGAGGGGAAATCAGGGATAGGTATGAGCAGTCCATGAATGAGCTTATTATATTTCCAAACATCTTGGAGATTCTGGAAGAGTCTTTAACACAATACAGCTTTATCTCTTTCCAATAAAAGGGTTCTATGATGTGACAACATGCACAGAAGCATATGACTGAGCTTAATGACCGAGCTTAATGACCTCCCCAATAAATTCTAGCTCTACATTCTCTAATAACTATCATCTATTCAAAGCTGCTTGGTGTTATACCAGTAAACCTAACAAAACAAAACACCCATGCAAATTCTTTTGGTTAGATTTACACAGTCTATTACAGAAATTAAAAAAAAAATCAGGAGAAATCTTAGCTGCATATAAACCCCTTTTTGTGATGCTGCAGAAATTGCACATAAAAAGAGCAAAGTATTATTAATTTTCAAGATGAGAAAGAGCGAGGCTCGAAAACATAACAAAAAGTACACTGTAGCACGAAGAACGTTAGGTGGTCCCAGTGGTATGAGAAACAAAGTAGTAAGAGTTGTGTATTTTTCATCACTGGTATTTCTGTTGGGAGTAATCTCCTGATGAGCTCGTTAGACTGAACACAACCTTACCCGACAGCATACAGGGTTTGGATAGGTTGCTTCCATTGTCTTTCCGCTGCCTGAGCCCTGATGAGATATTCTGCATACTGGTAAGTCAGCTTACTGGGTTTGCCCATTAAGGCCTCATATTTCAGATCTCTGCCAGTGATTTTCTTGTAAATGTTTTCCAAACAAACCATGAATGTTCCATGCCCAAACCTACACAGATATAAAGACAAATCAAATTATATTAAGCACACATAAAAATGCCAGGCTTTTTTATTTCCTGATCTTTCAGGAATAAATCATAGCCTGTAAATATCATATCCCCCTGTTTGCACGTAACATTTCCACAGCTGTTTCACTGAAAATTAAGCGCTGATTAGCTGAACAGTAAACGCCACAATAAAAACACGTTATTGGGAGAGCACAACAGGCATCTGTTTTAAACTGTAGCGATGGTTTGTGTTAGTGTTACTTGCATTTAAGCCAATACCCTCATTACAGAAGTGATGCTTCCTGACATAATGCCTGTGATGTACTCTCAGCTAAACTAACACAGAGGAGAAACAGAAAAGGAAAGTGAGAATCAGGCAGAAAGAAAATTAATCTCTCTTTAAACACAAGAGTATACCAAAACACACTTGTAATATGGAAACAAAAAACCTTCATGGGTTTCCCTAAAAAACTAGATGCAAAGGAGGATCAAGGAACAAACTCTAACTTTACAGCACGCTTTTGATAACTTGGTTATTTTCATCAAGGTGGAAACAGTGATAATGAGTCATCAACCAAACCAGTAAATCAGCAATTTAGAAGATGTAATCTCATGATAAAAAAGCAGTTTTACTTCACTACTGAAGTCAGGGTGTGGGATTAGGGATGAACTACTTGAGAAATATGGAATTACCAAAGACACCCTAAGAAGAATACAAAGTTCCTCTACCACAATTCTGTATACCATAAATTACACATACTACTTAAGAAGAGCTTCTAGGTAACTTCTAATGCACATAGATTAATATATCTGCTCAAACCAGGTACCTATAGCCTAAAAAAACCCCAAACACCAAAATAATGAGCATGAGAAGCCAGCAGAGATAGGTGAGGTGCCCTAATAAAGAAATTAGGTCTCCAGTGGCCTAGAAATCAAGAGTCTTCTAAGGAAAGAAGCTACAAAGAAGGAAGCAGCTGGAGCACTTTCAGAAGTGGTACAGTATTAGCTTTCCTGAATGGCAAATTAACCCTTTATTCCTTCTCTCCACCCTGTTTGTTGTTTTGTATTATGAAATACCAATAAATAAGCATAAAATTATTGCCAGTAATTATCAGTAATAGCTTAAAACAACTTAGTCATGCCAATATATTCCAACAGTGCAGGTAACAGCAGTGACAGATGGAACATCATCACAGTGTCAAAAAAACCCAAACTTTATACTGGCTCTTTCCCAAAGGAAACCACTGAAACTACGTCTCCTATTCATTGTAGATATATTGGTTGCCTTACTCCAGCCTGAAACCATCATAAGCCATTTGCCAACATGCTAATTAAAGATGGTCTTTGTGTCCAAGTAAGGATATCTGACAAGATTTTTGCTTGAAGATCAAGGCAACAATCCAGTCACAATAACAATAATTTCTGTTTCATTGTAAGTTCAAATTTTAGACTTGGGGGAAGGGAGGGGAAACAAAACTATTAAAAAACTACCTTCTATTGAAAACAAAATCAAACAAAACCACTATCAGCGATCACGCCACCTTGCTTGGTGTGTTCTACTTGTTTTTTCTTATGTTCCTCAAAGTGCTCACTTATATTGTTCTCAGCTCAAAAACACACTCTGCTTTCAACTAGCACAGTCAATTCTTTACCCTACCAGAAACTGTAGGGTGGAAAAGAGAAATACCAAAGCAGGACCTAATGAAATGAAACAATGGCCTTGATAATTTTTTTCACTTTTCTCTTTGAACTGAGATTCTGAGGAGGCCCTCAGGCAAAAACCTATCTTTCTCCACTCTCCTGGAAGTGGGAAAACAAAGAGGTTTAGGGCTTAAAAGCAGTTTTTATCTTGAGTAACTGATTTCCTGAATGCAATAATGTAGACAGTAATAAGGCAGCATTTGCTGAAAGTGCATTGCTTTAGAAACACATTCAAAGCTGAGACCTACTGTGAAGCCATAGCAAGCATTTGGTATAAAAACATTGACTCTGTTTTACTAAAGAAATAAGGAAACCCTAAATATATCACACAATACACGTACATGTTGCAATGGCATTTACCTTGGAGACTGTGCTTCAGCTACCCACATCAGATCCATGTTACAGGCAAGTACAGGAATGTGAGGGTAATTTTCACGGTGATAGGGATTTCCAGGATAGCCACTGGTCAGCAAAACATCTATTATCAACTGGAGGTTGGTTTCCCATCTGACTGGCTCCCCAAACAAAACAACAGCTATGAGAAGAAGAATGACAAAACAGAGTTATGGAATTAGTTAACAGGGCACCAAATCTCTGACACTAAAACTTGGTCTAAAGAGACTGAACAAGTAATTTGACTTAACTGTTAACTAATGTAACAGTCTTAATGACTTTCACTTAGGCTTTTAGTATATTACACACCCATTCATTCACAGAAGATCTCAGAAGTAACAAGACTCCCCTGCAAAATCTACAGATTTAAGAATTTTATTTTATTGGCTAAGTTTCTCCGTAACACCACAAAATATTAACTTCTAAATTGTATTTCTAAGTCTTCCATACCTTTGTGAATTCTATGCTTACATCAAGTATTTAAATAATCCATCAGAGATGTTATTTTGTTCATCTTACAACAAAATTTGTATTTTTTTAATACATTTTTCTGGTCTCCAGCAATAACCTCATGTGGATTTTTTTAAATCCTGAAGTCTAGTTTCTACTTTCTTGTACTTCAGATGAGACAAGCGTGAACAGGGTATGCTGAAACAAGATGCTTCTCCTACAACTCTGAAGTGACCATCCTGACTACTGCACAAACAAGACTGATTATTTCTGAACACATGTCAATGCATTCCTCATTTTTGAAAGGAAGGCACCAAGAGCCTGTTAAAGGAAGATGAAAAGGAAAGCAGATCTCACCTATCTTCTGAAACTTTGAACATGGCTGAAAACTGCATACATTAAAAAAACCCCCAGCTTTATCCCATGTGATACATTCCAAATTAATGACAGATGTCATTAGCAAAGAAATCTTAGAATTGTCTCAGCCAACTTTCTGAAGTGCCCAGCAACCTGAGAATAAATTCTAATTATAAAGGAAAGTACAATAAAGATATTTCATCTATTAATGGATAGTTGCAAGTTAAGTAAAGATAACTGACCCTCAATCTTGGGAAGCTCCACAGCAGAGGTGTACTGCAATAAGAAAAAAGTAAAGAGTTTTCTACGAGATTAAACATCTGCTACTATTTTTAACAGAATAAATTCAAGTATAGCTCCCAGAGCTGCCTTCTGCAACACTGACAGGAAAAGCACTCTCTATTTTGGTACATACCTGGCATCAGTTTACTCCTATTTCAATTCTGAAGTGAATCTCATGGCAAGTGGACAGCAGACAAGTGAGTATGTTCTACATTCACTAGCCTCCTACATCTGTTTATCTTCCTCTGGTGAGCTATATAGCTGCAGTTGTTTAATTGACTTGTGTATGAAAGTATGGATGTTTATTTTTCCACGGGAGTAAGAGGCCTCTAGTACTAACAAGACATTTGAAAAATAGTTTTTGAAATGTATGTCTTCAACAGTAAAAGAAAAACACATTGTATAACACATAATATATTTGCTAAACAAGTAAGAGTTTGCACTTCATGATTTACACCCTATGGTGACAAATAGATTAACAGTTTCTTGATCTTCTACATGCAGGTGGCTGAGAAGTGAGGGAAAAGGTGATGGAACCAAGTTATGAGTTCTATGAACCACACAGAATGTATTGACAAACCCTCTCTAGATAATGACCCTGCATATGTACAACACACCCCTGTATTTACTGTGTACACAGTCACTTCTTGAAATTCTGCCCAATTCAGTTCAAACCACACTGTACGTACTGGTAATATTTAAATATATTTAAATAATGGTATAAACAAGAAAGGGAGTCCTTTGGAGAAGAATTAGTTATCTGCAAAGCATTAGTTTACAATCCAAGTAACCTCACAGCCTAGAAACAAAATCAGAACAATCCCATAATGAAGGACAAAGCTTATTTTCTCTTCCACACATCTGAGGAAGCTAGGGAGCTTTCCAAGACAGACTTTGAACTAGGCATCTGTACTGAATTACAAGTTTTCCCACAGCAGTAAGTCACAAAATCAAAGATGATGTTAAAGAATTACCACTGATAGAAAAGTCTATACAGTTGTTCTTGAAAATGCTGTAATAAAACAAATGAAGCAGCAAAGCAAAGTCAAAATAGAAGGTAAGAACACCAGCATTAGCTCAGTAGTTTAAATATTGACCTCTATTACAGAATGTCATCTAATGAGCAAACAGAGAATTTTAAACCAAAAATACTCACTCACCGGAACGTTAGGTCTTCTGTCATGGTCAACTACATCTAGCAAAGGGTGTTTCTCCCGCAGTGTTTCAATGGTAATAGGCTGACAGAACCCAAGGCTGGGTAAATTCCAGTTAAGGATACAGAATTGCTTATATGAAAAGACTTTAAAAACCAGTAATTAGATTTTAACAGTTTTAACAGATGCCGTTTATCTGGTAAAGCAAATCATTTAGGAATGAAAGCAACATATCAAAGACTGACTTTTTCTTCCGTGAGGTAAAAACATGATCATCCCATTATTTATAAATAGGAGACCTGTGTCTTAAGACAAAAATTATATGTAAACCTTGCTCAATATATGAGATGAAAAGGAAGAAGACACTCTAGACCTGCAATACTCCAAGATCATCTTTACATAAGCACAAAAAGTTCATCTGGCAGAAAGACAACTGCTCATGTAATTAGCACAGGAGAGAAACATGAGCTAGTTGAGGAAAAAGCAGCTGTGATGCTACTCTCAGTATTAAGATGACTTCTTAAAATGCAAATGGAAATCAGAGCTATTAAAATATATCAGTGATACAAACTAAGCCACCTGATTTTATATTGGAATTAACACCACAGGCCATTTCTAAAATTATTTTAAAACAAAATTATCCTGTATGAAAATGCTATCTAACAGAAATATACTTTTTATATTTGTATTCAGTCTTGTAATGTACTCTTGGCCATGCCTAAGAAATTTTGACATTTAATTGGAATGTTCCTTCAGTGACTTTTTCTTCCCTTTGTATCTGAAATAAAGCTTATACTTAACAGTCATATTTTTTACAACTTATTATTTACATCAACTTTAACTAAAATCTCAATAAAGGAAGAAGTGTAGAAGGGAGTTACTGGAAGCACGAGCAAAGATTACGCAAAAGTTAAGATCATGAAATTACAGTTTGAAGCTTTGATACCATCTTATATCACCATAATTCAAGTTCTACTCTAGATGCTGGTTACAAAAACAACGTGACCTGGTCTGGCCACATGCTTAGAAGTGGATCTGGAACCACTGAGCTAGAGGTCAGATGTGATAAATAACAGATGTAATGCCACACTCTCACCCTCCAGAGCACAAACCCTTTGTGCTACAGTGTCCTTTACATACAAGGCAAAAAAATAATTCTCTCTCTTCTTTCCTTCCCCATTAAAAACCGATGGAACGAAGCGAAGCAAATATCAACGAACCGTTTTCAAAACATAAATTTGACATCACAGTAAGAACTACCATTGCTCATTACTGGATTTGTAGTGCTGAAATATTTGGTCTTCACTTGATCCACAGGTACCCCTGAACTCCATTAAGCAAAATACTTAAACAGAAAGTTGTGGTTTGTTTGGGATTTTTTAAAGATACTCTTGAGCAATTTCAAGAAGCGGTCCTTGGCCAGACACAAGAACACATTTTTCATGGTAACGTTTGAACATCCGCAGAGGGCTGTGTGACATCATCACTTGATCTTGTGAAATCTGTTTGGGATTTAAAAACAAAAGGAGTCTGTTGTTTTTCAGATAAGTTATTTAATATGTAGATTTAATTGATGGGCGTGACAAATTCTATGAATTACAAAACAATCATGCAGATCTACCTAAAACTCTACCATATAATTTTCTTCTAAGTTTCACAGACAATACATAGGTAATATGCCAGAAAACAACACAAATTGTCATACATAACCCTTTCAGCTTCCTGAATTACTCTATTCAACACAAACACAAGGTTTTCTCTCCTAGTTTTACAGGATCACCAAGTTCATTTAGAAAACAAACAGGGAAGAAGAATCAGAACTGCCCTAGATCCAACTGTGGTCCCTTTGCTGGTCTGCAGCATTGATTTAATTGCATCAGAAGACCTTCATCTTTAGTTTATGTATCCCATGCCTTCAATAGGTCTAAAACCAGTAAAATCATTATCCGGGAAGGATGCTATTATGAATCACTACTCATCACCTTCACAGATCTAAAAAAACCCCAGATAATTGAGATGCCATTTTACCCAGGACACGCAGGAGCTTCTGGACACAGATGTGCTCAGGTCTGATGGCCCTCCCTGACACAAAAGGCATGGCAGCACGGCCTGCATCGCCTTCTCTCACTAATCTCAAACACAGGCTCCAGCAACGGACAAGGCCTACTGCCCACAGCGCCCACAAACCAGGGGGGGTAAAGTTTTACCACTTGTATCAAAAAGAGGCAGGAAGCTCCTGTCTTGCACGTTATCACAGAAGACGTTCAGCTTGACAGAGTAGAGTTTCCTGTTGCTGACACACACACTTTTTTTATTCAGAAGGGGAAGGCAGGATTTATTCCCATAATAATAACGTTGCAAAGAAATACCATTACCATTAGCTTTACCATTGGAAAATCAGTACTTTTACCAATAGAAATACCATTGGCTTTGGACAGTATTATTTTACTTTTCCAATACCTCCAGCAAAGCATTTCAGAGGACTTAAGGGAAAAACAAAACTGATTTAACTGAGCAGCATTTAATGGAAGATAATACATTTGACACATCCACCATAAGTAAATAAATAAATAAGACTTAAGCTACTCACTGGAACTTCCAGGAGATGAGACAACTGATCAGCTTTTTTCTGGCGAAGGCAATTCCCTGCATTGGTGACAAACACTACAGGCACCAAGAACTGTCCCTGAGAATTAACTAGCTTTTGAAAGGCTGTTTTTGCAGCA